TTTTGTGCAATAGAAAAATAACAATTACGTTATACGAAGTATTTTTGTCCCGAATTATTGTTATAATATCTATGATGCGAAACCGTAATCTCTCACGGTATGTACCATGATTTTTGCTGTTAAACTCTGATTGTATCAAGTGTTCTATATTTTGGACAGGATTTCCATCAATATTGCATTTCCATACTTTGAAGTGAATATTGTGTATGCTTTTCAAGCAGAGGTTTCTTCCCTAACATATTTTCGAGTATTTATACTTGAAAAATAAAACAATAGCATAACATAGTCATAATAATGTAGTCATAATAATAAGTTGAACAAAACATTTTTTGAAAACTTTTCTCAGAAAATAAGCTAACAGAAAATTACAAAAATGATAAAGTTTTCGGTATTATATATATGTTCCGCTATAATAATATAGCTTGTTAATAATAATATGTAAATATGATATTAAGAGTATAATAACCTAATCTCTTGTGATTACATGCGTTCATTCTCCCGAAGATAATTAATTTTAAGCGAATTAAAGCAAAACTATGAACCTTGATTTAATGAAGCGCTTTGTCTATAAATTATTGTGTTATAATTTATCAGATAATCGATGAACTATAGATGAGCCATGAAGAGATTGAATCGACAAACTTCGATGATTGCACGCTCAATTGAAAATCTGCGTTCAATCCATACATATTTAACTTTGTTGAACTCTGATAATACGCTAATCAAATTTCCAGATTCATATACTTATTTGCATGAAAATATCGCGTGAGTAACAACGGAAATTGCTGTGGCGCGTTTCAGGAAACATGGTGCAGACGATGGTGGCACATCTCTCAGAGGAGCGTCTCCCTGTCGGCCAATTCCTATTCACCAAAGTTAAATCCACTTCTGATGAAGCAATTAAAAGAGCCTAAAGCCACAGAAAGAGAAGTGAAGAAAACTGCAAGGGTTACGTCAGCGGAAAAAGTGAAGACCGAAAGCATCGGTGAGTTATCTACTTATCTCATTTATTAAAACTGCCAACAAATATATTGTATTGCTCATATAACGCTTGTAAAATTATTTCTTTTGATTTTATTTCATGGCAGGATTAATGTAACTTGAAAGAATCAAAGTTTGCAGGATCTCTATCCTAATATTCGATAGACTTACAGGATGACAGAAAAGTCTTAGCTATTAAGTTTTGTATTTATCAAATTGTTATTGTATAATAACGTACATTTAAAACAAATTCTACACTGTTAGTTATATATCTTGTATTAGGAACACATCATGATCACGTATCTTTCTAGGAATAAATTCTTCCAGACAGCAAAGAGAGATCTTCAGTTCATCATTCGATGAAAATTTGTTGATATAGTCTTTTTATTATAATTAATAAAACATAACTAATACACTAGTTTATTTTATATATATATATA